AGTAAGGTTGTGGCTACTTCTAATTTTGGCTTTTTAACTGGATTGCTTACTGAGAGTCTGAATAAAACCTTGGCTGGTTAAATGAGACCCTGAACTCTCTTTGGTTCAAAAAGAGAAAGGATAAAAGGAGAAAGGATACTTGCATCCCCAACCTGAATAGCCAATGGGGTGACAATAGCTGGTGCAGACCCCAAATCCGGAGCGGTAGAGAGGGGCACCAGGGGCCGTTCTGTGTGGAAGGGCAGCCGGTTTGTGACAATAGCTGGTGCAGACCCCAAATCCGGAGTCTGGGGCAGAGAGGGGCACCAGGGGCCGCTCTGTGTGGAAGGGCAGCCGGTTCGGGGGAAGCTGGTGGATGCCCAGGAGGAGGGCAGGAGGCCTTAGAAGGGGTTCACACAGAGAAGGGGTCTGGGCCTGGCAGTGGCTCGGTCCTGGTGGTGCCTGATAGGCCCTTGTGGGCCCTTGCTCAGGGTGACTAAGAATCTTGTGGGCTGGCCGGAAGAAAATTTCCTACGGGGATGTAGGGATATCCTAGACCAGTGATGGCGAATCTTTTGAGCTCGGCGTGTCAGCATTTTGAAAAACCCTAACTTAACTCTGGTGCCGTGTCACATAGAAATTTTTTGATATTTGCAACCATAGTAAAAAAAAGATTTATATTTTTGATATTTATTTTATATATTTAAATGCCATTTAACAGAGAAAGATCAACCAAAAAAATGAGTTCGCGTGTCACCTCTGACACGCGTGTCCTAGGTTCGCCATCACGGTCCTATAGGGATATTCACTACATTTGGCTCGTCTGAACACGTGTACCTAAAGGCTGTTTTTTTTCTCAAACGTCTGTTCAGACTCTATGGATCGCAAAGAAAAAACTAAAATTCACACGGGCAACCACACCTCCAAGGCCAACAAGCCCATGAGCGCCAGCCTCACACGGAGGCCGAGGTGAGGAGCCTTCGGGACTGACAGTAAACGCTGGGGCCCCCAATGAGGAAAAGCTGGCTGTAAACGAGGCAGAATGAATGGAAAACACATCTAATTGGTCTCTCGAAGCTTCGGAACGAGGATTTAGATAAATGGATCCACCTGTGATGTTGGTGAGGCGTCAACCCAGTTCTCTGAGGTTAAAAATGGCCGTGCTTGTTCTAAAAGGGGGAAGGTCATTTGGGACATGTCTCATCAACCGCAGATATAAATTGTAAATGTCCCCGAAAAGAATGGGATCCAGCTGTTCTTTTATAAACTAGTGTGCCTATCTCTGCATGTTGTAAATGTGAAATAACTGTCTACCTCTGGATGATACTGCTAACATTAAAGGCAAGCGCTTGTAAGCATCGGGTATCTAAAATTCTCAGAAATATGGAAACTAAATCAAATGCTTCTCAAGGTCTCATGCTCTAAGATTAATTCTTAGTCAATAAAAGTTAGTTAAAGTCTGTTGGTTTGAGTAGAACTTTTTTTTCGTTATTGATTTTAAATATATTTATACAGGGTATCCTCCCAAAGTACACACTTTAATAGCTGACAACTCAATTTTGAAAATGAATACACTGACTTAAGAATTATTCAAAGTGTGTGCATATATTTTTTGGGGCACCCTATATTTTACCTGGGTTTACAAAAATAAATGTATGTTAATAATTGAACTTGATGTCTACGGAATGTGTTTCTAGAGTAAAATATCTTCATAAATTTAAGCTAAAGAATGCTAATGGCTTACTTCTTAGTTCTCATTAGAAGTTGTGGTTTTAAGGGTTAAAATCTTAGTCTGTGTCGGAATACACCTGCAGTGTTCCTCGCTGGAGCACCTCGGAGGCCTGTTTCTATGTTAAATGGCGTGGGAAGTATTGTGAGACAAACAATGAACAAACTTCTAGGGTAACTGTGTGGTTAAACAATGCTTGTAAATTAAACAGCTGGGGCCATGGAAACCCAGGACAGGCTCGAGGTTCTATATGGCTCCCTACCAATGGGTGTTACCTCAGAAACCAATTGTCCCCATGCTCGGCGTCTCATTTAATTGGTCTGGCTGTGGAGGCCCCAGTAGTGTGTTTCAGTAGCTCTCCCAGGTAAGCTAAGGTGTAGCCAGGTCAAGGGCACGGGGCCACCCAACACTTTGGAAACCCGAGCCCTCCGCATGGCCTTGGCGTGACCGGGTGCCGAGCGCTGCGCCGGCTCTGGGTGGGGTCGGTACCTGTGGGATGCCGGTCTTCCTCACGAGGCTAGGGCTTGAGATGTTGTAAGGTGTCTCCGTGACGTTGACGCAGGTAGTGAGCCCCGAGCCCTGAGCAAGAGCCACCAGGGCAGGCAGGAGGCCGCTGAGTCCTTCACCCACAAAGTAGGTGGTGAGGTAGTGGGTGGACAGCTGGCTCATGAAGGGCAGGAAGGTGACGGAGGAGGTGCAGTCCACCAGGGCCAGGAAGAAGGTGAGGACCATGAAGGTGATGCTGCGGAGGCCGCCCTGCACCCAGGAGGTGACATTCCAGAGGAAGGCGAAGAGGGTGCAGGCAATAGTGCCCACACCCAGCACGGCGAAGATGACGGGCACCTCGGACACGCAGCCAGGCTGGAAGTGGTGGAGCAGGGTGAAGAGGAGGGGCCCGACGTTGGCCAGCTGGATGGTCACCGTGAGGTAGGAGGGCAGGTACCAGCCTTCCGGCAGCTCCGTCACCAGCAGGGGCAGCTCTACCCAGATCCCGTTGATGGCCACCCAGGAGCCCATCCCGAAGGTGCAGACAAGCAGGTGTATCAGGAGGGCCATGGTGATACCTGTCCTGAGTCAGAGGCTGCCGCCTCCCAGATCAGCCTGCAGCAGGGCCTACAGAGCGAAAGACCAGGTGAGATGTCAGGTTCACTGTCTAGCTCAGGGGTGGGGAACGTCCCACCCGCAGGCTGCATAAGGCCCGAGAAATCATGTGGTCTGGCCCCGACAAGGCATTAGGGGTGAGTTAATTAAATGTTTGACCAAATATAGCAGGCACATTTTTAAGTTGATAATTTTGTAGAATGATATTATAAATATCCAAAGGGCCCTTGGCAGAAAAAAGGCTCCCCAGCCCCGGTAGCCAAAGCCTGGGCTGTCGGCCCATAGTGTCCTCATATCATTCCCTCCATGAACAGTGGGGCTTGTTGCTGTTTTTTCTAAGCAGGAAACATGAACAAATTCCTTTATGACGAACCTTCCAGTAGGAAAGACTTTTTAACCATGACTTGTAAAGCCAGAGATCACCAAAAAAAGCTTGATACATTCAACTGCGGAAATATCAAAACAGAAAAGCAAACAAGAAAAAAACAACAAAAGCCACGGCCAGGTCGCTCTGAGTGTCATCCCATACACCGTCCACCAAAAGGTTGCGGTTAGGTTCCCCACCAGGGCATGTACTTAGGTTGCAGGTTCAATCCCTGGTCAGGGGGCTCTTTCTCTCTCTACCAGTCAGTAAAAACATACCCTCAGGTGAGGATTAAAACAATGACAAAGTACTCCCTGCAAAAAAGGCAACAGCAAGATCAGAAGACTGATGACACCCTGGGGGGAAGTGTTTGCCATGTAAATCACAGAGGAAAGGCTCCTCTTCCTAATACATAAAGAGTTTTTAGAAAAGTAAGAACAGAAAGACCCCATAGTGAGGTGGGTAAAGGACAGGAAAAGTACAAGTAAGTCTTAAACATGGGAAAAGATGATCACCTTCATTCATGGGAAATGTCATTTAACAATGACTCCAAGGTGCCATTTCTCGCCAGGAGATTGTCCCAAAGGTTACCTGCCCCGGACGAAACCATGCCTGCCTGAGGTTTCTATTTCCTGTGGCCTTGTTGGTAATAGCAAAATATAGAAAACTAGAGGCCTGTTGCACGAAAAGATTCGTACAATAGGCCTTCCCTTCCCCTGGCTGCCGGCACCGGTTTTCCTCTGGCACATGGGACCCAGGCCTTTGCTCCGGCCAGAGCCACCTTCAGCCTTCGCTGCTCCGGCTGGAGCCGCCTTCAAGCCTGTGCTGCTCTGGCCAGAGCCGCCTTCAGCCTTCACTCTGCCACTTTGTGCCTACATATGCAAATTAACTGCCATCTTTGTTGACAGTTAATTTGCATATCTTGCTGATTAGCCAATGGCACGGTCAATTACCATGTTTCTCTTTTATTAGTGTAGATAGGATGACCCAGGTGCCTATCGGTAAGGGAGGGGCTACAAAAAGGAATGTCTGAGTTGGAATGCTATTGTCCCAAAGGTTACCTGCCCCGGACGAAACCATGCCTGCCTGAGGTTTCTATTTCCTGTGGCCTTGTTGGTAATAGCAAAATATAGAAAACTAGAGGCCTGTTGCACAAAAAGATTCGTACAATAGGCCTTCCCTTCCCCTGGCTGCTGGCACTGGTTTTCCTCTGGCACATGGGACCCAGGCCTTTGCTCCGGCCAGAGCCACCTTCAGCCTTCGCTGCGCCGGCTGGAGCCGCCTTCAAGCCTGCGCTGCTCTGGCCAGAGCCGCCTTCAGTCTTCGCTCTGCCACTTTGTGCCTACATATGCAAATTAACCGCCATCTTTGTTGACAGTTAATTTGCATATCTCGCTGATTAGCCAATGGCACGGTCAATTACCATGTTTCTCTTTTATTAGTGTAGATAGGATGACCCAGGTGCCTATCGGTAAGGGAGGGGCTACAAAAAGGAATGTCTGAGTTGGAATGCTCCACAGGGCAAAAGGCATGAGGAATGCGGGAGCCCTCCCTGGCCCACAGGGACAGGTCTCAAGGTTATGCTGATAAGGGAACAAAATCAAGGCAGGTAGACAGTGTGCTGCTGCCTTTTGGATTCAGGAAACACGGAGGAAGGCATGTTCTCTTTGCTTGTATTTGCACAAAGCAGAACACACAGGAACTACTGGGGTGTTGGTGGCGCCAATACAAACAGATATCTAGCCCTGGCCGGGTGGCTCAGTTACTTGGAACATCGTCGCAAGTACATCAAAAGGTTTCGGGTTCGGTTGCCAGTCAGGGCACGATCGCCAGTTGTGAGGGAGGCAACGGGTGGGTTTCTCTCTCACACCGATGTTTCTCTCTCCCTTCCTCTCTCTCTCTCAAATCAATAAACATATTCTCAGGTGAGAATTAGAAAGATTTGTAGACCTTTTTATATAGTGTTGACTATGTAAACAACTAAACATGTAAACATACTATTACAAAGAAGTTTACTTAACATAGAATTCCAGCCTGGCATTTTCTTGTGACATTACAGAACCCCCTAGCTGGACAGGCCCTCAGAGACCGCCTGACTCTGACCCTTGGGAGGACCATTCTGTCACCTGCTTACCACCTTCCCAGTGAGCTGTGTCACACCTCCTGTGCCCTTCTTCTCCTTGATCTCCCCTCAGTATAAGGGGAATAAATAAAGGAGAGGCCAGAAGCGAGACCCCGGAGCCATCTGCCTGGGCCTGAACCCAGCTCTGCCACTCGCTAAGGTGACTTTGGGCACGCGACCGCCTCTCAGGACCTCATCTTCCTCCTCTGTAAACAGAGGACGATGACAGCATCCACGGGATCCTAATATGTTAGTGAGTTGTTGTCTCGGACTGTGCCTGCCACACAGTAAGCACTGGCTGAGGGTCAGCTGCTATCCTTATGGTGAAATGCCAGATTTGGGGACATCGTCATTGTTTTCTAATTCACATGAAAATGGACACATTTTCAAATTTAAAAGGGAAAATAATTCCCCATGAGGAGCCACAGGTAATCGCCAGCGGTCCATGCACCATCCCAGGGAGAGACATGCCGAAGTCCATCCATCCTTTTACAGATGGGACGCAGGGTGGGTCTGCAGGGACGGAGGGGTTCTCCTGAGACGGGAGGTGAGGTGGGTTTGGAGCCAGTCCCCTGCAGCACTTGGTCCCCGCCCCACATGACCCTGTGGTGACCCCTGATCTTTTGGTTCTATGCAGTTCACACTGTCAGTCATTAACTCCTGGTCTCTATTCTTCTAGAACATGCAGGAGTCTCTCTCTCTCTCTTTCTCTCTCTCTCTCTCTCTCTCTTTAATCCTCTGGGAGAACATCGGTGCCTGGTATGCAACCCCCACGGGACTGTGGCTCCGTCTGCACTTACATAGGCTTGGCAGAATCTTCCCCGTTCTCTGTCCAGCACTCGGGCCTTCTCCCTCCTCCTACAGCTCTCTGGTTTTCAGAGAAGCAGGAAGTCCCAAAGCAGGCTTCTAGAACCATTCTCCTCTGCTCTGCTCTACATTTCTTCAGGGTTGAGGGTGTGTCTGACCTTTGCAGGTATGTTTCCCAGGCCCGGGGTCAACAGCTTCTGTCTGGGATCAGCAATGACGCTGAGAGGTTCTGATGGCAGATGGCGAGGTGAGGTTATGTTTTCACTGACAGAGAGAGAGAAAATGAGAGAGAGAGAGAGAGAGAGCGAGAGCTGTGAGAGGCAGAGATCGGCTGCCTCCCATAGGCTCCCCGACTGGGGATGGACTGGCAACTAGGTATGTGCCCTGATCCGGAATCACAATCGAACCTGCAACCTTTTGTTTCCCGGGACAACGCCCAACCAACTGAGCCCCAGGCCAGGGTGCGGGAGGGTCTCTCCTGGCCTGCCTCACTCAGGAAAGTCTTGACACCACAGCAAGGTGTCCACGCCCAGAACTGACTCTCAGGCCCCCCTCTCCCTTCCTCCTTCCTCCTTCCTCCTGGGAGGAGGCCCAATCCGCCCTTCTGGCTCGCCTCTCCTCCGCCCTGGGAAGCGCCGCAGCAGAATGCAGTCTGACCTGCTTTCAATCCCTTCCGGTCCGCCGCCTCCTGTCCGGGCCTTAGCTAAGCCACTTCATAAGCGCTGTCTCTCACCTGTGAAGCTGGCCTAACCGCCCAGGACAGCCTGGCTCTGGGGCACCAAAGGGGCCCACGGAGAAGAGCAGCTCCAGGCAATGGCCGCCTGCCCGGCTGCTCCCCTTTGCCTGTGCTGTGCTGCGCCTGGAGCTTTCCGCAGGGCCCCGTCCTTAGGAGGGCCCGGTCCCCAGGATGCCCAGCACTGGGCCCCAGGTGCCCTTCGTGTCAGGGTTTCTGGTGTGGACACATCCAGGCACATTTCTGGGGAGACTGAGGGCAGAGAGCTGCTTGGGGATCTGGCTCTGAAGGCAGAAGAGCTTTGCAGATGACCTAGCTCGGGATTTGTAAACCGGTCACCCTTTGGCCATAGCCAGACAGCAGACTTGTTCTTTTGGTTTCCTGTCTGTTATAAACACTTAGTTACTGAAATCTGCAAGTTGGGAATTGGCATACAAAACTCAAGATTTCTGGGTCCCTGGAATGTTATGTCAAATCACACAACAAAAATTGGGGTGGGGTTGAGGTGTATTTTATGTCTTCAGTTTTAAAATGTTCATTTCTCTAGCACAGGGGTCCTCAAACTATGGCCCACGGGCCACATGCAAATACAAATATTGTATTTGTTCCCGTTTTGTTTTTTTTTTACTTCAAAATAAGATATGTGCAGTGTGCATAGGAATTTGTTCATAGTTTTTTTTTTAACTATAGTCCGGCCCTCCAATGGTCTGAGGGACAGTGAACTGGCCCCCTGTTTAAAAAGTTTGAGGACCCCTGCTCTAGTAATTCATTTTTACTGTAAAAGTAAAAATTCAAGAGTTTGCAACAGATTGGAAATAAAGACTAGAGCTTGCCATGGGGGAATACAAGATGTCTGGTTTGTTGAGAATATTCTGGAAGACCACACCAGGCCTACATGCCCACTGGCAACCACCACTCTTGGCCCTCTTTCACTTAGGGTACTTGCCTGGGCCCCACTTGGCCCCATAGGCCCTGGGACCCC